ACACAAGTATAACTCTCAGTGATGTTGCCATGTATTTCCCTGAATATCTAGTGAGCAGGAATAGAGCGAGGGTAAAAAGTGATTTGGAGATTTTCAAAACCTGCCTGAATTCAACACGTACTCTAGGTGTCCCTACTTGATCAGAGGGTTGGACGAGATGATCTCTAGAGGTCCCTTCCAAACTCAACCATTCTGTGATTCCAATCATTTTGGAACAAAAATGAAAAAAAAAAAAAAGATGATGTCCATGTCCCTGTTCTTCAGAAATAATTTCCTCTAACAGCCAGTAGCCAATATCCCCTGAAAGCTCAAATAAAGCTTTCATGTTTTAAAGTTGTTTTCATACAGAATAGACCCAAAAAGATGGTCAACTGTAACAACTCAAAACGCATTACTCAACCCATAGGTACACCAGTAACTCAGTAATCTAAGTATCCAAAAGAAGTATGAATGAAAAAAACAAGGTAGAGACAAAAAATTTCTGTGCATCATCAAGTCCCACTAGCACCCACCCAAATTCAGTTCACTAGCCTCTTGCATAAATTGCCAGTCCTCTCCATAAATCTCTATAAAGCAGATCCTGCTCAGTGCAGCCTCTCAGGCTCTGCCCTGCACAAACAGCACGGACGTGCTGCTGATGCTGGCACTTGCAAGCCTAAGACCCTGGAGACACCACAGGGCCATTGAAATAGTTGAAATGGTGCTTTAAAAATCCATCTGTAAGACAAGATCAGGAGGGGAAAAGGGATTGTCTTAGGGTAGGATATTTTTCTTTCTTCCCATGTCAGTGCAAAGGGGTATACTTGCACATCAAGCTGCAGAACAGGACCCGCCAAGCTCCCATGGTAGCCTGATTCACTGACAGCTGTCATGGTTGTGAAAGCCTGTCACAGTCAGAGCCATGGCTGAAGCCTCTGATCTTTTAACACTGAAGTAGCTTTGCTCACTGATTCACTTAAAGATCACCTCAGCTGGCTACCAAGAATGTGCTGGAAAATGTATCTGCACCTGTTTCTGACGACTGGAAAGTGGGGACCTGGTCTATGTGGCACCCATTTGCTTCCTTCAGACCATGAAGCATCTGTGGACAGGGTAGTGAACCGTAGCCTTCACCGCTATGAAGTATGTTTTGTGGTGTTACTGGGGGACCCTTCGCATGAATTTGCGGGGTGGGATCAGAAAGAGCTCCATACTGCAGAACCACTGGAGGTCATCTAGTCCAACTCCTGGCTCAGAGCAGAAGAGCGAGGTGCTCAGGGCTGTGTCCAGCTGAGTTTTGAATACCTCCAAGGATGAAGATACCACAGTCTCTTTGGGCAACCAGTACCACTATTTCACCCCTCATGTTTTTTTTGTTTTGTTCTGTTACATGTTACTGGGATTTCCCATACTCCAGTTTGTGTTCGCTGCCTCTTGTCATATCACTGTGCACTTCCAAAAATAGCCACCTCTGTAACCTCCTGTGAGGTAGCTGAAGACAGCAATAATATCTCCCCTTAGCCTTTTCTTCTCAAGGAGAGTAAGCATGGAAGAATTCCTTGATCTTGGCTTTGGTCTCTGACTTGGAAAGACTGAAGCAGGCTGAGAGAACCAAATCTGCTGTAATTAATGTTTATTGCATAGGCTGATTTTGCTCTGGTACAAACAGTCATCAAGCCTGAGTTTCCCAACTAGGCAGTGATGTGATGTAGTCCAGAACCTAAAAGTAACATTTATATACCCTGAATAATTAGGGAACTAGGACTGGCATAAAACAACATACGAATCCTCTTGAATTTATATGCATACCTAAGGCTGCCAAAAGCATAAAATGTTATTTTTGGTAATATGAGAGCACCCTAGAAAATACAGAAAAAGAGTACCATTTAAAATTTTGGGGTGAATCTTTGAAAACTACATCACACTGTGATCTGACTGGATACAACTCTAATAATATTCAAGGCTTACTTTTTTGTTCAGGAATCACAAAACTCACATATGCCATTTTTTATTCTGCTTCAAAAATATTAAGAAAATCTGTTGATAAAATCTAAAGGATTTAAATCTATGACTACTAAGAACACATAATACAGGTAGAGGTTGACATTTTCAAGCTTGGATGTGTAAGTCAGAGGGTGAGCTTTTCAATTAGAATAAGTCAGTAAGGTAATTCTGACCTCCTAAAACTGTGTTTAAATACCATCATGGCTTCAGTTTTTCAGATCTGCTGAGAACACACAGCAGTGCACAACTTTCCATTTTCCTTTGTCTGAAATCGCTTCCTATCTCACTATCAACTAAATGGGTGTTTGAGGTCAAAGAAAGATGTGCAAAACACCCATTTTAGCAGGAAATTTTTCTACTGAATAGCAAAAGTCACAATATTTAGTAGGATAGAGCAAACAATCTTAATGGCTTTGAACAAGTCTTATGGTTTTGCCTTCACAAATCATGGAAAACATTGAAGAGAGCTTGATGATTTTTACTGGCACAAATGCAAGAATAACAAAGGCTGTCCAAACACTTGAATACCTGTTTTCCTACACCTCCTTTTTTTTAAAAAAAAAAAAAAAAGAAATTCCATAATGTTTCTTCTTGCAGAAATATGTTCCCAAGACAAGAAGCACATCCCTTCATTACATTGGACAAGTGGACAGTGAGGTGGATTGAGGACTGACTGAATGGCAGAGCCCAGAGGGTAGTGATAAATGGGATCGAGTCCAGCTGCAGGCCTGTGGTCAGTGGTGCCCCGTAAGGGTCAGTACTGGGCCCAGTGCTGTTCAACTTGTTCATCAATGACTTGGACAAGGGCACCAGAGTGCACCCTCAGCAAGTTTGCAGATGACACCAAACTGGGAGGAGTGGCCAACACTCCAGAGGGCTGTTCTGCCATTCAGAGAGACCTAGACAGGATGGAGAGTTGCACAGAGAGGAACCTCATGAGGTTCAACAAGAACGAGTGCAGGGCCCTGCACCTGAGGAGGAATAACCCCAGGCACCAGTACAGATTAGGGGTTAACCTGATGGAAAGCAGTTCTGTGGAGAGGGATTTGGGAGTCCTGGTTGACAACAGGTTAACCCTGAGCAATGTGCCCTCGTGGCCAAGGCCAATGGGATCCTGGCCTGCATCAGGAGGAGTGTTGCCAGCAGGTCAAGGGAGGGGATCCTGCCCCTCTACTCAGCCCTGGTGAGGCTGCACCTGGAGCATTGGGTGCAGTTCTGGGCTCCCCCGTACAAGAAGGACATTGAGCTTCTAGAGAGGGTCCAGCGGGGATCCACAAAAGTGTTTAAGGGACTGGAGCATCTATTGTATGAGGAAAGACTAAGAGAGCTGGGCCTGTTTAGTCTGGAGAAGAGAAGGCTGATAGGAGATTTGATCAACATGTACAAGTACCTGAGGGGTGAATGTAGGGAGGATGGGGCCAGGCTCTTCTCTGTGGTGGCCAGTGACAGGATGAGGGGTAACAGGTGTAAGTTGAAACATAGGAAGTTTAATCTCCATATGAGAAAGAACTTCTTTCCTGTGAGGGTGACAGAGCCGTGAAACAGGCTTCCCAGAGAGGTTGTGGAGTCTCCTCTGGAGATCTTCCAAACCCGCCTGGATGCCACCCTGTGAGACGTGCTCTAGGTGTCCCTGCTTATGCAGGGGGGTTGGACTAGATGATCTCTAGAGGTCCCTTCCAACCTTTGCCGTTCTGTGATTCTGTGGTTGTGATATCTCTCAGAATCAGTACTTTTGAAACTATTATGAATTCTGCAAATAATCCCTAAATCCTATTTCCTTGTTTCTACCTCCTTTCCACAAGATTTCTTCCCTTCAAAAGTTCTTGGCATCTTCTCAGTAGCAGCTTCTCAAAAAATACTCTTTTCTTTCATCTTTCTCTTTCCACCAAAACAGACTGTTTCCCTATTTTTATTTAAACTAGAGCTGTTTTCCCAAGTTCTAGGCTCAATATTTCAAAACGTCTTTGAAATTGGGAAAGGAAGGGATATCCATGCGGAATAAAGATATCCTTACACCAGCAGAAGAAAGACATTGGAGGAGTTTGGTAGTGTGTCTTCATCCTAAATTAAGCCAGACAAAATAAAGTGACTGAACTGACTGAGAAAAAAAAAAAAAAAAGTTTCTGTCACTACTTGGTTCACTCAAGGCACAGATGTCAAATCAAGACAGAATAAGGCCCTCTGAGCTTTTAAGAGACTTCAGTGGCTGTCCATGAGAGTGTTGCACAAGATGACACATGACCTGTCATTCCTTTCCTTTTAGTGTTTCTACTTATTTCTCTGGCATTATTGTGTTATGAAACAGCCCCAAACATTAAAGACAAATGATTGGAAATCCTTGTCAATGCAAACTCTTCGAATTGCAAATGTCAACATACAGTAGTTTATCATACTGCACTGTGAGCGTTTAAGAGGAAAACAGCAGATATTTTCTGAATCATACTGTACTTCAGCTTTTTCATTGATTTCATGTTTTTTTCTTTTTTTTTCCTCCATACAGTAAACACCCATAACTTTATATTAGCATTGTTGGAATAGTAGTGATTTATAGGATTTACTTCAAGAGCTACAGAAGCATGGAAACTCTCTTCTCGCCACTTCTGAATAACCCTATCATAGAATAAAGATATTCTGAAGTTTTATGCCCCTCTACAACAGGAGAATAATGCCTGGGGTGGTAGAAGAACCATATCTTTCAAAGGTATTTTATAAAGTATAACCCCAAATTAGTCTTATTTTCTTCATTCATAATGGAAAACAGAAAAAAAAAATGTGAGAGTCAGCCTACACTGAGACTGACTGAGAGTCAGTCTGTGTATATTTAATATGTTTGCCTCCTGTGAGGAGTTAACTGGTTAACAAACAGACAAAAAAATGTTAATTTTGCTATTCTTTACATGCTGCAAGTTTGAATGTTGTGTCCATTCGTTATTTGAGTACTACTCTCTATAGTAAAAGTGTGATACCTCAAAGGGTGCTATCTGTGAAACCATTTATCACTTTGCTTCTTTACTTACCAGTCACTGTAAAACTCATTGCAAAGATTTTGTTTCTTCCAGTAACTACACAGCGGTACATTGCAAAATCAGAAGCTGTAACATTTTGAAGGACCATCATGGAGCTTGTCTTGGAAGTGCAGTCCACCAGTGTACGCCCTTCAAAGTCTGAACCAAAGCTCTTCTGCCCTAATGAGTTGCAAAGGACCATGAAATCCATCTGATTTATTTTAATTCTTTCCCACATCACTTGCTGCACTGGACTTCCAATATTATAAGGGCAAGTAAAAGTGACGTTTCCTCCTGGCTCAGTAAACACATGATTGTTTTGTTTCTCAGGTACTTCAAAATCATCTGTTGAAAAACACACACACACACAAACATATAATAAAATACAATGAAAAGGAAGGAAGGAAGGAAGGAAGGAAGGAAGGAAGGAAGGAAGGAAGGGAAAGGAAGGGAAAGGAAGGAAAGAGAAAGAAAGAAAAAGAAGGAAGGAAGGGAAGAAAGGAAGAAAGAAGAAAAGAAAGAAGGAAGGAAGGAAGCAACGAAGGAAGGAAGGAAAGGAAGAAAAAAAGAAAGGAGAAATAAAGAAAAAGAAAGAAGGAAAGACAAAGAAAAAGAAAAATATGCTTATAATCAATTAAAGTAGTCAAGTGAAGTTCAACGTAAATGTTTCCTGAATGGTAAAAATTAATGAAATTAGCTTACAGCTTCAAGTTGAAATACAGAAAAACAGCGTCTATGCATTATAGACTATATTTCCATGCATATCTAAACAAATCAGTAAACTATGCAGCTATGAGCTGCTGCAGCATTGCAAGAAAGATATTTCTGCACATTTCAAAAACATTAATGCATTATTAAACGTCTCAGTAAATATTCAACAGCAGAAATTATGAGACCATTCTAAATAGGAAGGACGGGAAGAAAGGAAGAAAGAAGGAAGGAAGGAAGCAACGAAGGAAGGAAGGAAAGGAAGAAAAAAAGAAAGGAGAAAGAAAGAAAAAGAAAGAAGGAAAGACAAAGAAAAAGAAAAATATGCTTATAATCAATTAAAGTAGTCAAGTGAAGTTCAACGTAAATGTTTCCTGAATGGTAAAAATTAATGAAATTAGCTTACAGCTTCAAGTTGAAATACAGAAAAACAGCGTCTATGCATTATAGACTATATTTCCATGCATATCTAAACAAATCAGTAAACTATGCAGCTATGAGCTGCTGCAGCATTGCAAGAAAGATATTTCTGCACATTTCAAAAACATTAATGCATTATTAAACGTCTCAGTAAATATTCAACAGCAGAAATTATGAGACCATTCTAAATAAACTTGTGGTAGTCTCATCCTTCCAAAATTATGATTTCATGCTAGTTATATATATATAAGAAAGGAAATAAAAAAAAAAGCTTGCCATGACCCTCAAGGCATTATAATTTATGAACAATTATCACATTCACAAACATCATCACTCAAAGATATAAAGAAATTCTTAACCACTTATACACTCTATCTTGCAATATTCAGGCTCTGGTATGCAAGGAGACTTTCAGATAAATTCAATCGCTCAGTCCCACATAAACTATAAACATATTTTAAACCATTTTAACTGAAAATTCTCTGCTCAGAGCTATTGCTTTTAGTAATAGAATTCACTGTTAACAGATTTAAAAGATATTTACAGAAAATTTATCAGTGTTTCTGATATTCAGGGCACTCAGCAGACATTTGGTTTTTAAAGGCAACTTTGTAATGCATACATTTCTTAAGTAAGGACTAGTACTGTCAACTTTAGTACTGAAAAAGATTAATGATCAAACTGCTTTGCCTGCAATGTAAAATGACTGATCTTTCAAGTTGTTCAAGGAGTTTTTCTCATTAGATGCCTTGATGTCAAAAAATGTCACCAGTGAATATTTCTTACATGTTTGCCTTTATATACAGTAGCAACTGGAAGCAGAGACAGAAAATTAAAATGGGCAGAGAAAAATGGCAATCATTAAATGCATCAAAATCTGTCTAGTAGGTTTTAAAATGAAGATGTAAACAGCCTTTCATGGAATGGCATGGACCCAGTAGTACTCTGGCTGGAACAGATTATGATATAAGACTGTTTTAAGTTTAAATACTGCTTGATACAACACTTTTATCAAAGACCTAGGGAGGATAATGCTGGTATACTTTGTTGTTTTGGATGTTGGTAGTACTAGGATGGCCAAATCATAAGTACTGGAGAAATGACCAATAGAGGATGACCTAGCCCACTCTTAAGATAGGTATAAACAAAGGGTAATGGTATTTCATGTAGCCAAGCATACTACCCTAAATCTAGGAATAAGTAACTCCATTCTTGTTGGATAGATGAGCACTTTACTGTGGAAGCCAGAGAATCTGAAGAAAAAATTGCACACTCTCAGTAAAACCATGAAGAGTAAAAATGAAAAAGGCCAGCTATAATTTTTGAATATTTTATCAATGGAACACAGCACAGAAAAAATACATTCCCTCTGCCTTTGGAGACCAGCAGTATGATTAAAAAGTTTAAATGCTGAAAGACAAAAGAAACCATGTCTAATTAGTTTACCTGAAAAAAATAATGAGTAACTTGACTGCATGTAGATTACAATTAAGGAGACAGAAAGTTAATGATAGACAAGGACAGAAGTGAGATAAATTCAGACTAAACAGAAGGTACAACATAGTTAAGTAAGTTAATTAACTCCTTGAACAACTTACCAAAAATGGTTAATTTTCTATCACTGAAAAAGACAGACAAGGCTGGATAATCAAGTCAGAGATCATGCTAGTTCCAGCAAAAATTTACTCACTGAAGTATAACTATTACTCAGATCAGATTAAATGACTGCTATAATGGGACTCTACGCTTGCGTGAAAGGCTCCTTGAAGCACAGATCCCAAGGTCCAATCCTTCAGAAGTCACTAAAGTAGAACAAGGTCATTTTCATGCAGAGAACATTCAGATGGCCAGGGCTATTTAAAAAAAGGGCTTGGAAGCCAAATCTCTCTCACACATCATATTCCTACAGGTTAGAGCTTTTCCTCCAGCCCCACTTTTCAGACCACCAGCTTTCAGTAACTGTTTTGCAATGGACCACACATCCTATCCCAAGTCTTGAATAAAATCTCTTCTTCTTCACTTTATCTTCACTGTCCCCTTCTGCTACGAGCAAGCTCTGCTGCTACCTACGCTTTGGACTCTCCATGTGTCCCCTCTGCTCCTGGGTCCTTCATTTCCTGCCAAAGCCACCTTGAGCTGGTGGCCTTGACAGGACGCTAGGCATTTCTCCTATCTAAACCTGCTTATTAAGGACATTCCTTAATGGTATGGTACCACCCTCCTCACAGAGCATGCTCCCCAAACCAAACAGCAGCAACCAAGGCCAGAGGAAAAAGCAGCCTTTTCTCTTGCTGTCCTGCTGTACATTTGCTAGGAAAATATATGTTAGGCATGTAGTGAACTGTGACCAAACAGATAAAAGTCATTCTACCATAACCATGAAAATCTCTTCTGTTGGATAATTTATTAGTTAAATCCTTGTGATAGATTTGTCCAACAAGACAAATTTGTCATACAAATTTGCCAGCTTCTCAATAGTATATCACACATTTTTTTGTTTTGCATATATTTTGTGCTTGACAGTTACTTTCAGCCATTTACACTCTTAATAAAAGATTTTAATCAATCCCATTCTTAAAATATGGTACTGTACACAAAATACGTGATTGTATAAGGCACAGGTAGTGGAGAATCAGGCCTACATAGTTGTAATTAAATTTTTCATGTGAGCTTATATGTTTCAGACTTTCATTTTAAGCAATTGTTCCTTTTATTTTGGCACCAGTATCAGCTTCAGTTTTGATCCTCCTTCTCCTCTGTTAAGCACTTTCTTTATTTAGCAGATTTCTGAACACAGTTTCTTTGCTTTCAGCGTGTTATGTATGGGATGAATACCTCCCACTCTGAGAAGTGCTTCTGTAGAAAAGTACACCCACACACCTACACCCCTGCAACCACACACAAAAAGCACACTATACCAAGCTCATGTGACTATTTCAAAAATGGTAAAAATATGTAACACTGCATCTGATAAAAATCGACATCCCCTTCCCTTTGCTCATTCCAGTGACTGCAGCTGTGCCTGCTCTGGCAATGTAATCGTCCTCCTGGTAAAAAGTAGTAGCAGGTAAAGTAGGTGCATTTGACTCTGCTTGTCAAAGAGGTGCTCTGTGTTGGACACTCCTATCAAGTCTCTTCTGGCATAGCGCTTTCTCATCGTATATTGCAATTACTCATGTTTCCCTTTGTTGTAGAACCATTAGAAACATACAGAGGGAAAAAAAAAAAAGAAGAAGAAATGAACCGAAGATGAAAAGCAAGCTCAAAATTTCATGAAGATCAACATTCTCCTGGTCTTTTTAGCACCATGAATTCAGATTTCAACTGATTTCAACTGACACGCTGAAACCAGATTTCAACTGAGAAAATATTTCCAGAGGATTAACCTCTTCATTCTTCCCGAATAAAAGAAATATGGGGTGATATTTAAGCCCCAAAATAATGTCTTCCCAATGTATTAATATATAAGACACAGTTTTGTATGATTTCTAAAAAATATTTTTGTCATTTTTGAGATAAAATAAGGATATAAGGATGAACAGTTACTAAATAAGTTGGAGAATTAATGGCCAATAAAGATTTTTATTTCCAAAAATGTTTTAACAGTATTTTGACAACCAGGTGTAGTAGTACAACAGTAGTATACTGCTTGAAAAGAATGTATTTTTCTAACAGTGACTATTTGGGTTATAAAGGAAAAAAATAAAGCATTCATACTCCTACGCTTCTCAAAACATCCCTTTAACAATAAGAGATATTGTAACAAAACTGTGAATCTGTATCTACCAATTATTAATTCTTCATGAGATTATAAACACTTTGTATGTATTTTCAACCCATCCTCTGATTCTGGTTTGTTTATGAACACTGCATCACTATTACTATATTATCCTGTCTTTAAAGCTGAATGCTAGTTACTTGGGGTGCAAGGAAGAAAGAAAGAGAGTACAGTTCTCATAACAGAAAGAAAATCATCCTCTGTTCTGACACAAACATTCATGAATTTCTAGCACAAAATATTTGTGGGGGTTGTTTTTTTTTTCTTTTCTTTTTCTTTGTTTTGGTTGTTTGTTTGAGGAAGAAACCATTCAACAAGAGCATATAAAATGCCATTCTGGAATTCAACCCCAAGAGTCTAGAAAGTGTGAGAGGTCAGGATCCCAAATTTTCATCCTCTACAGGAGTCATTATCTCAAGATGAAAGGAATTTATCGGCA